AGAAGAAAGTTCAACACTATTCAGCAATAACTAAAATAAAACACAAATGTGTCATTTCTGATTATTAGTATGATTGAAGTGGATCATCGAAGGTCATTGGTTAATAAAATGGGATTAAATAAATTATATTTGTTTTATTTAACACATTTAATTATTGCAGGTTTGTCTAATATTCTGAGTTTGCATTTCGCTGTTTGTATTGATTGTGAGGAGCACTGAATGTGTTTGTGTGCAGTGAGATGAGTAAACACATGTTGATATTGAGTCTAGAGCTACAGTAAGATCATGTTCACACACAACGCTCTGCACTTACTCCTGATTTCTGTCACCATGGCAACACCAGAGCTGTCACTCAACACATGGAGACAAAGTAACTCAGATATTTCCTTCTAAATGAAAAAGTAATGCGTTACTTTACTAGTTACTTAAAAAAAGTAATCTGATTACGTAACTTGCGTTACTTGTAATGGGTTACCCCCAACACTGCAGGCGAGAGCACCTGAGCGGTGTACCTGTGTCGAAGGCCGTGGTTCGGTACAACACCTGTGGGCTATACGGGCCTGACCCGGCGCGGTTATGAGCTGATATCCTCACAGCGTACGCCCAGTCAGGATTCAGCCCGTGAATGGTGTAGCTGGACAAATCCGCCGGCACCATCAGTGTGTGCGGTTCAACGCCACCACCTGCTTCCTCATACGTGAGCGTGTATCCGGTAAAACCGGCGTTCCGTTCCGAGCCGCTCGGAGGAAGCCAGGTGAGCTGCAGCGAGCAGCAGGTGGCGTTGACGTGCTCTGACAGCTGTGGAAACCCTTTCGGGGGAAACTCAGGCACCGAAAGCTGCTCCTGAGCCTCTTCACTGTAACCAGAGCGCCCTCTAGCGGCCAGGAGGAATGAGTAAACACCTCCAGGACGCAGGCCGGTCACGTTGTGTTGACGCTCCTCAGGTCTGAAATCCAGAGAGACAGACTGAGAGTTGTTTTTAAGGTCATAGGTCAGATGAACGTCTGTACAGTAGAGGGCGCCGCTCAAACACATCTCATGAAGAATATGACGCAGCAGAAGAAAGTTCAACACTATTCAGCAATAACTAAAATAAAACACAAATGTGTCATTTCTGATTATTAGTATGATTGAAGTGGATCATCGAAGGTCATTGGTTAATAAAATGGGATTAAATACATAAATTATATTTATCTTATTTAACACATTTAATTATTGCAGGTTTGTCTAATATTCTGAGTTTGCATTTCGCTGTTTGTATTGATTGTGAGGAACGCTGAATGTGTTTGTGTGCAGTGAGATGAGTAAACACATGTTGATATTGAGTCTAGAGCTACAGTAAGATCATGTTCACACACAACGCTCTGCACTTACTCCTGATTTCTGTCACCATGGCAACACCAGAGCTGTCACTCAACACATGGAGACAAAGTAACTCAGATATTTCCTTCTAAATGAAAAAGTAATGCGTTACTTTACTAGTTACTTAAAAAAAGTAATCTGATTACGTAACTCGCGTTACTTGTAATGGGTTACCCCCAACACTGCAGGCGAGAGCACCTGAGCGGTGTACCTGTGTCGAAGGCCGTGGTTCGGTACAACACCTGTGGGCTATACGGGCCTGACCCGGCGCGGTTATGAGCTGATATCCTCACAGCGTACGCCCAGTCAGGATTCAGCCCATGAATGGTGTAGCTGGACAAATCCGCCGGCACCATCAGTGTGTGCGGTTCAACGCCACCACCTGCTTCCTCATACGTGAGCGTGTATCCGGTAAAACCGGCGTTCCGTTCCGAGCCGCTCGGAGGAAGCCAGGTGAGCTGCAGCGAGCAGCAGGTGGCGTTGACGTGCTCTGACAGCTGTGGAAACCCTTTCGGGGGAAACTCAGGCACCGAAAGCTGCTCCTGAGCCTCTCTACAGTAAGATCATGTTCACACACAACACTCTGCACTCACTCCTGATTTCTGTCACCATGGCAACACCAGAGCTGTCACTCAACACATGGAGACAAAGTAACTCAGATATTTCCTTCTAAATGAAAAAGTAATGCGTTACTTTACTAGTTACTTAAAAAAAGTAATCTGATTACGTAACTTGCGTTACTTGTAATGGGTTACCCCCAACACTGCAGGCGAGAGCACCTGAGCGGTGTACCTGTGTCGAAGGCCGTGGTTCGGTACAACACCTGTGGGCTATACGGGCCTGACCCGGCGCGGTTATGAGCTGATATCCTCACAGCGTACGCCCAGTCAGGATTCAGCCCGTGAATGGTGTAGCTGGACAAATCCGCCGGCACCATCAGTGTGTGCGGTTCAACGCCACCACCTGCTTCCTCATACGTGAGCGTGTATCCGGTAAAACCGGCGTTCCGTTCCGAGCCGCTCGGAGGAAGCCAGGTGAGCTGCAGCGAGCAGCAGGTGGCGTTGACGTGCTCTGACAGCTGTGGAAACCCTTTCGGGGGAAACTCAGGCACCGAAAGCTGCTCCTGAGCCTCTTCACTGTAACCAGAGCGCCCTCTAGCGGCCAGGAGGAATGAGTAAACACCTCCAGGACGCAGGCCGGTCACGTTGTGTTGACGCTCCTCAGGTCTGAAATCCAGAGAGACAGACTGAGAGTTGTTTTTAAGGTCATAGGTCAGATGAAAGCCCAGGATCTCCAGTAGAGGGTTAGAGGATTGTTGGTGAGTCCAGATCAGCGCAGCGGACGTCTCATTAACCAGCTGCACGGACAGAACGGGACGAGCAGGTACTAGAGGACACAAAGACACACAAACTCTCAGTGACTGGGCATATAAAACACATCCATCACACTGACCAGATACAGTGCCCTCTTCTGATTGGACAGGGCAGTTACAGTGGTAATTGTTTATATGGTGTTGCAAAAATGTAACTATATTATTGCACACCTCTCTCTCTCTCTCTCTATATATATATATATATATATATATATATATACAGTACACTCACGCAAAGCAATATATACTATATTGTAAATCTCAACTGCTTGATTGTTTGTATCATCACAAAATGTGACTGTATTATCACACAGCTCTAATCTGATAAATGCGACTATAAGGCATGAAGATATTAAAGTGCCCCATTATGGATTTTTGAAAATGGGTGTGTATGAAAATTCATGCAGTGTGTAACACAGCTCTAAGTGAATGAAAACATCCTGCAAAGTTTTAAATCTGAAAGTGCACAGTGTATAAAGTTATTGTCTCTCAAAAGAAAGAGTCGACTCTGACTCACTGAAAAGAGTCATTTTTAAAACGAATCCCAAGCCGTTTCATGTTGACGTCAACATGAAACATTAGCATATTGCCCGCCCATTTGTTGGTCTTTTCACGTTGGTCTGAATAAAAATGAAAATACATTCTTTGCCACTAGGTGTCTCTTTTGGAGCAGTAAAATAGCTGTTTCCCCGGTAACGCTGTCCACAAAGCAGCACTGTGCTCACAAACACGGCTTTATCAGGCGTTACAGGCGAGATGAAATGAAAATGAGACCAATCGGGCCAATCACCGCAGATTAGCATCACGCTAAGGAGGGGTTTGGAAAAATGAATCGTTGAGTGAATTGTTTGGGAGTCGTAGAGCAAATAAGGTAAAAATAAATGCATATTATAAAATTTTTTTAGTGTTTTTTTTTACCTTGCGTGCATGTCAACCTGTTGTTGGGGACTCCCAAAACCAAAATATGACCCTTTCATTACCCATAATAGGGGCACTTTAAATATAATAAACTAGTCACTAAATCACATACAGCATCATTTGTGTCATTAATATATTAATTATATAGACACTGTGTTATCAAAACAATAAGACACCTGAGGCGGGGTTAATATAGAGAATAAAGCCCCGCCCTCTAAAGATATGTCAGCCAATCCAATGTCAGAAACACACACAATGACTAACTGTGTTTCTGATTGGATAAAGAGCTGTGAGTCTTTTGTTCTGTTGAGTCTACTGACAAAAGACTGGTGACTGTCACACACACGTTTCACTGCTATCTGTCACACAAACAGTACTGAAAACTGAACTGAAAAAGAGTCTGTCTGTCCCTGAATGTTTTAACATACAGAAACACACACACATACGGGCGACTCACATGCGACAGGTGTCTGCACCAGATGAGTGACGCTTTGAGCTCCGTCACCTTTAATAGTGTAGGCCCCCACACTGATGGAGTACAGCGTCTCAGGCTGCAGATCCTCCAGCATCAGCTCCTACACACACACACACACACACGCGCGCGCACACACACACACACACACACG